GATTTCGATTCGGAAAGAGAAGCAAAGTTATTACTGGTTGCTGCCCTACTGAATATTACTTAATTTCCATCTAAAATGTGCTATACTCTATTTTGGCGTGCAGTAATATATTGTATATATAATGTATTTGAAATTAATTTATTTATCATAAAAAAAATTGTTTGGCGCCATACATATTTTTCTATCGCCGAGATGACCAAATTTGTCCTTGATACACCCTTTTTTGAAGAGCCGATAAATCAAACTCTATATCTAATATTTATATATTGCTTGCGCCAGTAAGTGGAAGTGTTATGGTCATGTTTAGTTTTTCTGATTGAGTTGGCCTGTCAGTCCTTCAAATATCGTTAACTTTTTCTATCGTACTTGGAATCTTATGAGCATGTGTGAGAATTGAATTAAACGAATTGCAGAACAGGTCGACGTTCCTTATTCTAAGCGACGCGACGTTCTACTATTCGCAGGGCTCCCACGGTTAAATTACAAATTTTATTTAGGAATTTAGGAGGTTTTTTGGAGAATTTTAGGAGAAAAATGTATGCAAATGAATTTATTCAATTAAATAAAAACATCTACACTATACTTAAAAAATAAGAAAAAAAATAAGTAATTCTTTTTAACAAAAATATAAATAAATATCACTTCTTTTGTACAAATGTGTTATATTGACTAGTTTTTTAACCAAATCGCTCGACGAGTTTTTTTTTAATAAAATGAAAACTGAGGCAAAATTACTACTTTTATATATATATATACAGTGCTTGCAAATCCAAGTCCGACCGGTTTGGGAAGGACGCATGAAAATAACAAGGATAGAACGCCAAACAGAAGGCGCTTACAATACGCACGCCTGACGCTCTGACCAATCAAATTCTGTTTGGCATTCTATCCTTATTCTTTTCACGCGGGTATTGAACAACCATCCTTTCCAACGCGGTCGGACTTGGATTTGCAAGCACTGTATATATAATAATAATAATAATAAATACTTTATTGATCCCAAGAAACATAGATTGTTTATAGAGGGACAAACTCTAAACATATAATAATTACAATAAGTATATCTATCACAGTGATAAAACATTATCTTATAAGATAATTATAGTCTTACAAATATACAATATACAAACATACTTTATACATTAATTTACATATTTACTGAACTTTTTTTTTTCAAATTCAATACTCAAGAAGAAGACACGCAGGTTAGCCTCTTATCAAGGATTGAAATACTCTTTTATATGTCTTGTCGATTTTGTTTTTATATCTTCTGGTAAGCTGTTATATATATTAACACCTCTATATAATAAACATGCTTTACCATACTTTGAAAAGACGTGTGGAACTGCTAAATTATTATTATTTCTTGTGTTGTGTAGATGTATTTCATTTCTGGCTTTAAAATTAATATTCGTGTGTTTCTTCTCAAGTATAGAACCATGAACAAAGCTACACACCTGATATTTATAAATATTATCAATGGACATTATTCTAAAGTTGGTATAAAGATCTTCTGAATGATATCTTGAGGGTAAACAATACAGGTTCTTTATTGACTTGTTTTGAAGAGTTTTTAGGGGCCTTATGGTGACAGCACTAGCCGTATACCATACCATCGTTAGATATTGCAGGTGAGAGTGTATTAATGAATAATATATTGATCTTAGATATTGTTTTGGGACATTATTATTTAATTTATATAGAATACCTATGGGTCCAGCAATTTTGCTTCTTAATTTATTAATATGGTCTCGCCATGACAGTAATTCGTCAATTATTAGCCCAAGGAATTTAATATTTCTAGAATATTTTAGACTCTCACCTGCCACATCCAATGGTTGCCTATCAAATAAGTTACGCCTATAGATATACATATACGAGGACTTGTCAATATTCAAAGTTAGCTTATGAGATTTAAGCCAACTCAAAATCATCTTCAAGTCACAAACAATATTTCTCCTAATTGAGTCATAAGTGTCTGAGAAGTATACTAAGGTTGTGTCGTCGGCATATAATCTAATGTTTCCCTTAAGCTTTAAATTTGTTATTGAATTTATAAATACTATAAAAAGTGTGGGTCCTAATATAGACCCTTGCGGTACTCCAAATTTTATTTCAATTTTGTCACTGCTTATTTTGTTTATTACAACTGCCTGAGTTCTATTCCTTAAATATTCCTCAAACCATTTCACTCTTATACCTAACAGTTTTAATTTTTTTAAGAGTATAGAATGACTCACTGTATCAAAGGCTTTACAAAGATCCAGCGACACCAGTGCGCATTTATATGATTTGTCTATGTTCATTTGAATATCTGTTACTAAGTCCACTGCAGCAGAGCTGGTATCGCTGCATCTTCGAAAACCATATTGAAGCTTTGAAAGGAAGTTTATGGAGTTTAAATAGCTTATAAGTTGTCTGTTTACTATACTTTCTATGATTTTGGAGAATAGAGGCAAAACAGATATTGGTCTATAATTGTTCACATTTGATTTCTCACCACTTTTATAAACTGGTATCACCTTAGCAATTTTCATAGCACTTGGCACAGATCCACTTTTTAATGACTGGTTTGTAATTCTAGTTAACACTGGTAAGATCTCGTTTTTGCACTGTTTAATCGAATTTACGTCTATATTATCGTATCCTGGAGATTTCGCCGAGTCTAGTCCCTCAACCAATTTCAAGACTTCTTCCTCAGTTACTGGTACAAAACTGAACAGCTCATCACATCCGGTTTCTATTTCCATGTCCAAGGGCATATCTGGAATTTTGTCTGCTAGTTTTCTAGCAATGCTAGTGAAATGATTGTTCATTGTGTCACAGACACTTCTCTCATCATTAACAATGTTGTTACCATCCTTTATTGAATATATATCTGTATTGTTTTTTTGTTTGTTGTTGATTAACGAATTTATAACCTTCCAGCATTTTTTTTGGTTGCCTCCTATATTTGCGAATTTATTTTTATAAAATCTAAACTTCGCTTGTCGAATTTCTTTTTTGGTGGTTTTATTTATTTCAGCATATTTAGTTTTTATAAACTCATTTCCAGGGTCATTTTTTATTTTATGAAAATAGTAATCTCTGCTCTTTATTAATTTAAATATTGTGTTATTAAACCATGGCTTGCTGTCTCCCTTAAACTTATTTTTTAAGGTAACACTAGTTGTGTTTTTTGTAAAACACAATATGAGTTTTTCATAGTTGTCATCCACACTATTGTCCTCAGTATAATGGTGATTTAAGTTTGTTAGATCAGCCTTAATTTTTTTTAAGTCTGTTATTTTTTTTGTAAAACTGCGTATTGTGTTACCCTTAATTCTTGTATTAATTGTTACTATCTGAAGTTCGTGATCACTTATTGAGCTTCCTATCACCGATGCTTTGCAAGTTTGTAAATTGGAGTTGGTGAGAATGTGGTCTATAAGTGTGGAGCTGTCTTTAGTTATTCTTGTGGGCAGTAGTTTATTTACAAACTCAAATCCATTACTTATACATAGCTGTTTGTATTCTAAGCTGGCATCTCCTAGAATGTCCATATTAAAGTCACCTATAACATAGGTCTTTAGCCTTTGTGAGCTGCTCAGTTTCTCCTCAATAATATATATCTACAAGTAGAAATTTCACCACACTTTTAATTTTATTAAAAAAAAGCGTCGATAGATATGGCTAAAAAAGTAGGCCAAAGTTTAATGATGTTATATTTATATTTTGAAAAAAAAATTAACAGTTTAGTTAATAACTAACAATAATTGTAATGCCGACGGTGGTCTAGTGGTCTAGTGCATGCTGACTACAAGCCGGAGGTCGTGGGTTCGAATCCCACCAGGGGTATGGCTGTTTATTTGTGTTTGTCCTATTGTGTATTAGTCCTTCGGAGGGGACTTTAAGCCCGCGGTCCGTTCCTACCCCTAACCCGCACAAGCCATTCAGTTGGCTTATGGGACTTCTTAAGAAGTAAGGGTGGAACTAAAAGAGCACTTTTTTGTATTGTTACTAAAAAATCTCATAATAGAAAAAATATAAAGTACATGATACAGCAAAACATTCTTTAGATTGTTTACTATTTTAGCTATCATTTAAAAGAAAATTAAAAATCAGTTTGATATATAACACGGTATATTTTTGTCGAAAATTAACGAAATATGGCTAAAAATGACAATTTTGTAGAAGTCTAGAAGCTATTTTGTTTTATGGTATATTTTGTTGTTTTTTAATAAAAATGTAGGTTGTGATACCTATATCATTTTAAAAAGAATTTAATAAACTAGAACCCAAAAATATATATTTTTTAAATTACTTTTTAAAAAAGAAATTTTTTAGCACAACTACCTTAATTAAACGCAGTCAAGTTGGCCTACTTATATTTAATTTTTAGAAGTTTTAGGAGATTGATGGCAATTTTAGGAGAATTTTAGGAGTTTTTAAGATTTAAGCCAAATTTTAGGAATTTTATGAATTTTAGGAGGTGTGGGAGCTCTGTACTAGTTACCTGATCAGAATTCAACAAATTTGAAGGTGATTTAAAGTTGTTTCATTTTCTAGTTATTAAAAAATTAAAATTCCCTAAATTTTGTTTAAATAAAATACTTATTTTAAATTTCCGCACGCTGAAAGCGCTCTCTAGCCTACTGTACATCAGTTTGAACTCTACTTGAAGGTCCTGAATATAGTCTTGATTCAAATAATGGAAAATCAAAAACTACAATTAATATTATTTCGATATTCTGCATAATAATTCAAGGTTAAATAAATACCTGCATAAAATTTAAAAAAATTGGATTTTGCACTTTTATTTTTTTGTATGACTGTGTTATCAATTATGAATTTTGTAATCAGTAGCGCTTTATCCAACCAACACCTTATTGATCTACATCAATATTAGTATTGATTATCAGTCCACATAATTGACTGATTTCAGGACCCCTGCGCGAATCATCATGAGAAAATAACACTTGTTTTTTTTTTCATTTATTATATTAACATAAATAACTTACCTTTGTGAACGTGGTAGATCCAGAAGCCATCAAAATCTGTCGGACTCTGTTGTGAAACCTTGACATTGATTCATCATCAACTCTCAAGAAACATTGAGCGGTTCTTTCTTTACTGCCTTCATGTTGCAAATTCCAAACACCATCGCGATGGGTGAATTCTTCGTGTTGCGTGCGACATTTAGGCAAAATCCTACACTCAAATCCGGACATGTTAAACAAAAGATTTGGATTATCCTTTGAATAAACGCTGACAAAACTGTTCTCCCATTGGATAGTAGTTACAGATCTCGGTAGACGATTTTTAATGTCCCAGAATACGGCCCTGCCCAAGTTAACATCGTGTTTCATAAGACGCATCCTAGCGTCCCTGGGCCAGCATTTTTTGTTGTTATAACCAACGATGTTTTCGTTGTTTGGATCAGGATGTTCTGTTAAATACCTTTGAATCAGGTCTTTAGCTTCTTCAGCAGAAAACCTGAAAAGGAACGTTATTGTGTACTATGTTCAGTTTGCTTCTAACCACTACCTATTTGTTACAAAATCAGTAACAGTAGATGCCTACATGTTGACAACATTTAGTATTTAAACATTGTCATAATTTATCATACAACAAATAAAATAAACAGATGTTGCCTTACCTAAAGAACATGTGTATTCTGTCGACATATCTGCAGTACAATCTGATTGGATGACAGCTTTCTGTTGCAACATCTTGAAAAGTCAAAAAGTCGTTGGGCATTTGGGGTGGGCCCGCCATTTCGGACGCCCTCTGTAGGCCGAGAACTAACAAATCCAATACCAAACCGTAATACTGCGTGACAAACGAGGCAAACTGAAGTCCTCTTATGATTCCGTAACTGTTTGTGTGATTCATGTCTTTGTAATTAATAACAACGTTGTTCTTGGCCGTCATGTAATCGGCGATGTTGTGATCAACGATGAGACGCAAAAGTCTGTTCAGCAGGGTCAAATCGATTTTTTCATAAAGTTTTTCAAATTTCGATTCCAGCAAAACGTTACATTCGCCCTCGTTTACGTCCCAAACCTCCTGAAGGTTGTTTATGCCTTGACACCATTTGTATACAAGTAACGGCGGTGGTTCCGTGTCTGCAGGTTTGATCCATGGCGGAAACAATCTTCTTTTATCGGCTTCATACCAAAGGTATTGATCTAAATAGGCATCTGTAATTTTTTCTAAGGGTTCAACATCATACACTGGTATCAAGTGGCTGTACAAATCCATAAATTCAATCCCCGTTTCTTTAAAAGCTCTTTGTGTCAACAAATGACGTTTGATTCTCGATAAAGCTTCGTGTGGATTATCGTAGGCTTGTTCAATGAGACCAAGTTCTTCTCTTTGACTTTGATTTAACCTGGATTTTACGCTGTATGCTTCTTTAAGCCTTTCCAAAGCCAAAATTAGCAGTTTGGTGTCGTGTTTATAGGAAAGCGGTGGAAAAGGTATGGGGGCGAATCTTCTGGACTCCAACCAATGCACAGTGGTTGTATAAATGGCAACGGCTTCTTCAGGGGAAATGTAAGGACCGTCTTTAAGGTAGTTATGTTGTCTTTCTTGTTCAGCTTTAAGGTACAGCCTGGTTAAGCGACCTAAGTTCTTTTTGCAGACGGTTTTATCGACAGTGGCTCCTCTACGTATTCTTTCTCTGTTATAGTGAGCGGTGTTTGTCCACCAATCGGCTTTCATTTTAACGTAACGAAGGATCATGTTTTCGATGGGAATTGGTAGCCCAGGTACCTGAATTAAATTAGTAATACTTAGAGACAAACTTAGCAACGGTTTAAGCTACTATTAGTTGTAATATGTTCAGTTAATGCATTTATCCAAAGAGTCCCATATCAATCTAAAATCGATTGGAAATCATTGTCAGCCCACAGTATTGACTGATTTCAGGACCCCTGCGCAAATCATCATGTAAGAAATCTTATCTCTTAAAATGCATATACTTAGCATTACATATACAGGGTGTCCCAGTCGCGCACCACCTTGAAGGTGTATGATCTATGAACCCTTAGGAATCTCAGAAAATTATTAAAACAAATCTACCTTCGTTAAAAGATACATGGGATACATAATTGTTAAATGGCAACATTGCGTACTAATAAATTGGTGGATTCATTAAAAGATAATATTATCTTTGGATTCATTCTTAATCATCATGACAACAAACAATATTAAAAAGTTTAAATACGTTACTTTTACTTAGAGGTTATTTATTATACGGCAGTCTTGACAGAGGCAAATACAGGTAGAAACTAATAAAACCATAGATTTATTTACATTAAAATGACACACAAACAGGCCAAATGCATTTTTTAAGCATTCTGCAAACACAACATTCATACTCACTAAAGAAATACATATCGATATTTAACAGAAATGCTATGACACAATCTAATTTTGAATTTCAACTGTCAATCATAGTCTATAGTGTGATGTCAACAGATAACAATCAATTAATTGTTGCACATCATTTTGCCAAACGCATGCAAAGACGAAACATTAATTCCTAATGAAACTATTGTTTAAACATGTTGTACATTAGACTTTATCTATATAATACGACTTATAAATATAATTAAGGTAAACCTATTATTTTTAATTTAAAAAACTGTTTACGCTCTTTTAAATAATTCCTGGAGGTCTTTAGATCATCCACCAAGGTGATGCTCGACTTCTGGGATGTTTATTTAAGAAAAATTTGATAATTTTGTATTTAATGTTTGAATGCAGAGAATATTTAAAATGAGGGTGTAAAATGCATATTTAACTTACTTTCAATACGAATAATTGTTTAGATAATTTTAATTTAAAAGTAAAGGTAGCAACTTATAATTGAATTGATTATTATTAAAAGGAACTATGTCACAATTTTGACATTTTTAGTTATACATTGCTGTTTATTAATTAGACCAAGCCAGATTGTTTGTTGCTAAAAAGAACCAAGTCCGCATCTGGCAAATACAATATTATGTAGGGTAAAGTTTTATATATATTTTTAAAAGGACCTACATAAGTCACTGGACTTTTAAAATTACCGAATTTTTAATCTCTCTCTTACTAACTGTTATCACAGAATATAAACACTGTGGTGTTATCATTTAATAAATGACCTAACTGATAGCAGTACCACTGATAGCATCTAGCTATGTTGACTTTGACAGTAGTTGACAGATTCTTGTGTTGGTGTTCTAAGTTGTGAGACAGAATTGTGAGCTTAGACTTGTCTAATAAGGTTGTGAGTTTATAAGTTTATTTTATACAAGATCATTAGCTTCACCCAAACTTGTTGAGATATACTTACGGGGGCGAAAATATGACAGGGCAGTTCGGTGCGGTGCCCGGGGGCCCCGATCATACAGGGGCCCCCAGACATAAAGAAAATTGTTAAATAACATGATAATAATTATTATGTACCCATTGCATACCTACTAAAATATTTATTTAAACCGTATTTTTACGCTAAGGTATACAGTGCAGAGTGCCGAGGGCATCCGAACACCTTAAAAAAGAGTGGGGATATTTTTAAGCGCCGATGGGACACCGCCAAACACAAATGATGCTCGAAGGAGGTAAAATATCACCACTTTCTTTCAAGGACTTTGGATGCACTCGGTACTGTATACCACAAATTTTCTGATATTCTCAATGTAAAATAAACTTTTGATTTTTTGAAATCGCCGTACGTATACGTATTTAATCATAATTAAAATATTTTTTTTACAAAGATATTAATTATTTACTAGGAAGTATATAAATCGTTAGATGCCTAATTTAATAAAACATGACCATACAGAAGGTATACAGTGCTTGCAAATCCAAGTCCGACCGGGTTGGGAAGGACGCGTGAAAATAACAAGGATATAACGCCAAACAGAAGGCGCTTACTAGAGCCCTGAACGGGCTGAATTTTTCAGGCCCGGTCCGGCCCGGGCCCGAAAATCAGTCACTATAGCCCGGCCCGGTCAATAACTTATTAGGCCCGGTCCGGCCAGGCTCGGACCGATTCTATTTTATATAGAACGGCCAATAAATAACAGTTTTTAGCTGTAATAAAGCTAAAAAAACGCTTTGTGATTTTTTTAAGCTGTTTTATTTATGTAAATGTTAAGAAAAAATTTAAATGTACATTACACTTTAGTTAATTAATAATTATTTATTTATAATAAATAAACTTATTAAAAAATTAACAAAAAAAAAACAAAATTTAATTTATTTATATATTAATTTCAAATATATATTTTTAATTTTTCGTTTAAAAAAACTACATACAATGTATGTTATACATATAAAAGAAGAAAAACTTTACAAATTGCGATCTACCTTCTATACTATTATAATAATATTATAGTATATAAAATAATTATATATTATAATAATTTAATATAATATAAATCATATATAATAATTATATTTTATTAATAATAAAGATATCCTTATTTAGTGGAAATTCCTAAATCGACAGACAAATACAGCGTAGAATGTCTAGATGGCCTAGAAACTTATGTCGGCCCGGCCCGGCCCGAATTTAAAAAATAGCGGACCGGCCCGTGCAGGGCTCTAGCGCTTACAATACGCAGGCCTGCCGGCTCTGACCAATCAAATTCTGTTTGGCATTCTATCCTTGTTCTTTTCACGCGGGTATTGAACAACCATCCTTCCCAACCCGGTCGGACTTGGATTTGCAAGCACTGTATATGATATGATACAAATTATGCGTGTATGGAAGCAGACTTTTGTAAAGTTTTTCTTATTTTTATGCTTAGTCTTTTTGTAACGGTGTTTTTTTTAAACGATATTTTAGAAAGTAAAACAGAAATAAAGTCATTTACGCTAAGAAACAACGTAATACTTGCAGGTAAGTTTAAAAGGTATATACAGTAGAAACCACCAATATATGAACGTGACTCATCGGGTGCCGAACATATCTCAGACATGCTAGCAGTAATATTTTACTTGTCTTGTACATTCGATACAGCGGTAAATGTACTCACACGTAGGTTTTTAAGCATCCGCTCTAAAATGCGCCATCTGTGATGTAAAACTGCCTAGGTGTTCAACAAAGATGGACATATGACGCGTGTCCTAGCTTGTTACTTATTTTTGTTGGAATTCAGTAGAGTTCGTGTTTTAGGCAATTTATTTTATTTTATTACATAGTAAGGCAACCAACTCTACCGTCGGCCATTTGTTTTTATGTCATATGATCTTTGTTTTTGCATATCGTGTTTCTGCTGTGTGTTAACGGATTAATAATCGTTTTAAACGTTGTAGTGCTAGTGGTTTTTATTGCAATTGTTATTGCACGTTTATTGGACTGTATTGCAATTGTTTTTGTACGTTTTTTGGACTTTAAATAAACGGTGTGTGTTTACGGATTAATAATCGTTTTAAACGTTGTAGTGGCAGTGGTTTATATTATGTAACACAGGTAGATGTCGTATAAAAATCCTTACCTAGAAATTCTAGGCTATAGCCTAGAATACAAAAATATTTTTATAATATAAATTTTGTACTAGTATTAGTTTAATACATTCTGAAGAAGCTACTGTGCAGCGAAACAATTGTCAATATTTAATAAATTTCGTGAAACTAACGCAAGTTGTTTTTATATCCACACAATTTAAATATCTTTCACTTTGTACCTGACCTGCGTAAACATTTTTGTTTTTTTGTCACCAATTCTGAAATATTTGCGTTTACAGTTAAAATAATAGTATATTCTGTAACAAGCTTGGAATGCGGCATATTCCGCTCGAGTGAAAAGTTTGTCACACGAGCCGAAGGCGAGTTTGACGGTTTCACGAGAGGGGAATATGCAATTCCAAACGCGTTTTAGACTATACTTTTTCTACGTTTCCAAAAAATATCATAGACAAAGAATTTAATTGGAAGAAAGTGAGGTTGGATCGGTCTAAAATTTGTTAGATATTAAAAACAGAGATGTCGCCACGAGTGTACATTCTGTCATCAGATGATAGAATATTTCATTAAAGTTAAAAGAAAAGTTTATTTATTAATTAGTTTCTAAGAAAATTACATTTTATTTCATTATCGTAGATGTTAATTATTAAAATTTAACTTTAAAAGCAAATATATCAGAAGTATAGCAACCAACATTACACTCAAGATTTTTAAAAAATGCTTATGCCCCGTTAGAACAGCACTGCACTGGACCGTGATAGATTGCTTCGTACGATTGTGCCTGATGAGTCACGTTCATATATTCGTGGTTTCTACTGTAGGTACAGTTACGGAAAGAAGTAATGTCTATTTAAATGCTCCATTGTAATTGTTCGGAGGCATTCGGGTTTTGCTAATAAAATTAACATATCTATTTTTAAACTCAATAATTCTACCTACCTGCTATTTACCATTCTTTCTACGCACATTTCATTTGACTTTTAAGCTTTTATGCAATTAAATATTTAAGGAATAACATTGATTCTGAAATAATTTAAATATAATATATGTTCTATAGCTTATTAAATAAACTATATATTATTTAATAAGTTGTTATTAATAAAATAATATATTTAAATTAAATATAGACATTTAATACTAAAATAATTATAAACTTTTGCATAATTTTGCAAATAAAATTGTTAATATCCCTGTTTAATGTTAGTGTCCGACCGAATGTCAGTTTTTGGCCGAAGCCGAAGCCGAAGGTTCGGCTCTTGTTGTAACCTTCGGCCGAAGCCGAAGCCGAAGGTTTAATAAGACTTAAAAAAATT